ACATGTCAATGAAGTTATTAAAAATTACATGACATATTCATAAAGATAGCTTATAAGGATTATTGTAAAATTAGAACGTCTTGTAATTCTCTGGTAGCAGGGATATATGTGTTGTAAAAATGCTGTTCATAGAAACTGAAACCACACTTCACTACATTCTTGTTTTGAGTTTTGCAAAAGAGATGTAGTCATATACCTAAAACAAAGGCTATCCTGGCAAAGGCCAAGTCCTATTTACAAAGTTCTGTCAGAGTGTTACACAGAACAGTTCATCAGACTTTTTTCCTTGAAATATAAATTTTAAAATTAGGTGTATAAAATTATATGACATCGGAAACAGGTTCTTATACTACCTGAACTACTTTAAGAAGTCCACGAGCTCATCTATACTGATATGTATTCATGCTTCTGTTTATTCCTCCTCCTCTTTTAAGCAGAAATGCAAAAGTGATCTAAGTGAACATGCAATCTGGTCCCAGCTGCACGGTAATTGTTAGGAGCAGCTGAATCCAGCAGACCAATAGAGGCGAGGCTGCCGCAGCTTCATATCCCCAGGTCCAGCGAGGCTGAGCAGGTACTGCCAATAGGCACATATGCACACAGTACATATGTAGAGATACATATACCCGGCCACACAGATCAACACAGAAGGAAAACACAGCACTCTCACAAGCACCAGTACTCTCTTCAGGTTCTCCTCTCTGGCTGATCAGGGTGAGGTTCTGCTGGTGGGAAATATACACACACATGCACACATACACACATGCATATACTCACCCACACCCATACACATACATAAGGGAATCTCACTGTGGAGATGCTTTTTTCTTTTTTTTCAGTATAAAGGGAGTCACATCTGATTAGTTCAGATATCATATCTACAGTTTAGGTGTCAAAAGGTTAGTTGAAGATGAATCTACAGCTGGATTTTATACTCTGAAACATGACCCTGGGAAGGACAATGTATTCCTTGTATTCATATATCTTGAGTTAATGTAAGCAGACTTGTGCAAATACTACAAACCTCTGATTTATGGTCAGAGTTCTCAGAGTTCTCGTTGTTAAGTACTACCACCTCAATTGCAATCAATCGTTATATCAAAGCATATTTCTTCAGTGTTATCATCCGTATTATGCTTAACTTCATCAAAGATAAACCTGAAAAGTTTGTAGTTCCTGAAACACTGTCATTTGATGATGAATTTCAGGTAGGAATTTAGAAATATTTAAATCGGCAATATTTATCACAAGGAAAAAAGAACATTATACTGTAATAAAAATCTGAAGACCATTTATACCTTGTGAGATGTTGGGCTTCAAAGTGAGAGCAAACGATTTGCAGAGAGACTGAAATATTCTTGAAAAATGAGAAAGAGTTGCATCTCTCATAGGAATAAAAAAGATCATAACTTCTTTATCCAAGCAATAAGTAAGAAATAACACAAGGTTATGTGAAATATCTATTAAGATAAAAGGAAGCTGTTCAGAAGCTGGCAAAGTACATAATCAAAGCAGCCAAGAAGTCTGAATGTAGAAAACATATGCCAAGGCTGCTGGAAATGTGCCTGTTTCATTTCTGTTGAGGATAATGATGAAAAAAATTGCCATCTGTAGAGGTCCAGAAATTATAATGGATTATGAACTTCAAGAACTCAATAAACAAATGAGAAGTACAGTCACAGTCAGAATTCCCAGCTTCCCATTTACAAATGCAAAAGAAGATAGAACAAAATGACTCATTTCTTTTTATGAAAGAAAACTGAGCCAGTGGAAGAATATCAGAAACAGCACAGACATGGCCAAATTGACAAAGAGCTTCAATATTCCGAGGTAGATCTTTAAACTGCGTGTTAGACATCGAGGCATAATTGGCAATATTGTTGTTTAACTTGAAAAATATCCTTTTTTTTCCTACTTTCTAGTTTCACTGATCACAATGACATTAGTAGAGTTTTTGATGCTGTGAATCTGGGATTAAAAGCTACTCAAGTTTGAAATTCAGAAAGTTTGTGTTCAGCTTTGAAATCAAAACTGATACCAATTATATATGTATTCTACCAAAAGTAACTATCATCACACCAAAATATTATTTGTGTCATTCATTACTTGTGTAACTTTGTAAATGGGCTACAACTCAGTGGGATTATATACTTTGTCTGGCAGTTAGCTCTCTGCACGAGTGTAGAGAATTGTTACACTTTTGAGTCTGAATCTGGATGGGAAGACAGTGGAGTGTCATGGTGTAGGTGTCACTGTTAAGTTCCTCAAGGCTATTAGAGGTTCAAAATGTGATCTATGCTTTGAAAAATGCAGTGTTCTGCTAATGCCTGTATACCTGGAGATATCATTAATTGAGAGAAAAGAATGAGAAAGAAAAGCCAGGGAAGCCACTCTATTTGCTGAAAATTATTTTTACTTTAGAAACAAATTATAACAGTCCTGAGTCAACTGGAAGTGAAATCCCATAGACTGTGCATTCAGGTGACTTAGAAGTAATAATGCAGCAAAAGTATTTGTGAACAATCTATAGTAGCAGTAACTAGTAAGAACTCTTTAAATGACGAATTGACAGCTAATGGAGTAATGAAATATAGCATTTTACCTTTGCAAATACAATTTGCAATCATTTTTTGCAAAGCAGTACTGTGGAGACAGGCTAGACTCCCTAGAAAATGATTGAACAGAGATATGAGTCATTATATGTTTTTTGGTTTTCCATATTTTACATGCACATATTTGCAATTTCATATTAATCTGATTATTGCATCTATTTTTTCTCAGGGTTTGGAAGGTCCTTTTGGGCCCAGGGGACCTCGGGGACCTCAGGTAAGGGAACTGAAAGCTATCAAATAAAGAGAAGACACTGTTTTCTGTAAGTTTGTCCTACATACAACCTGTGAACTCTGCGCAGAGCAGCACGTGTTTCGTAACAGCAGCAGAGTCTGGCAGTCTTTGGCTCTACTGGGCTGCTGCTGCTTAAGGCTGCTCAGATATGTGTGGTCCACTCAGGCTCTCCAGTTATAGAGCTCTCAAGTTACCCTTGCAGGAAAAGCATACGGAAACATACCCCTGCTTCCTAAATCCTTCATATATTACGTAGCAGTTTCCCCTGTATCTCTAAAGCTGGGCACACAACTCCTGAAATATAAGGCAGCTAGAGAGACTGAAATTTGTTGCACAAACTAAAACCTGACATGATTATTTGAAAGTCTTGGAAATGAGTTAAAGTTCCAGTCCTATTAGAAGCACAATTGTTACCTGTCTCGGATAATTTATCATTCATTTTCTATAAACTACATAGAAATCCATATCTTGCTCTTCTCTGTTTGCACTTGTTGAAAAGCATTACTGCTGTCTTTGTGTTTCTTGTAACTTCCATAATTTCCCTAAAAAAATTGGTGATAGACACCTAAAAAGAGCTGCTTTATGTAGCAGACATCTCAAGAACTTATAGCAGTCTCTTAGTAGATCCATAGGTCATGTGGAATGAAGACAGGCAACACTTGCCCAATCATGTCTCTACTGAGTCTATTTCTGGATTAGATGAATGAAAACATAATGGGGGGGGCATAATAAATTAATGAGAATTTATTCCATTGTGCTAAGATGTGAACACTTAATCCTAAATGCCATTTTCAATACCTTACAGTGATGTTCTTCAGCTTTATTTTTGCTTAGCAGAGGAGATGCAATAACGCTACATAGCGATTAATTATTTTGTGCCCCAGTAATTCTGTTTCTGTCCGGTAAGTAACTAGTAAAGATGTGGTCCCCGCCCAAAAAGATGTCACTTAGTTATTCCTATTTATTAGGAAATGGAAAACCTAGAGCCTAAGAGATTTTTGACCAATCTTCAAAGGAATTAATGAGACAAATCAGATCACAAGCACTTCCACACATCAATTCAACTCACCATGCAATATATGTTCAGTTTTGCACGCTTTGTAAAACACCAGCTGCTGTTGCAAATCAAGCCTTCTCTAAATTCTCGTACAATGATATAACCTGATCATGTTAAGGTAAAATGAAATTTAAGCAAATAACCTTTCCCTTTTCGTATACAGCCTCATTACAGTTACTTCTACAGTATCCCAGTTTCAAGCTTAATGTTACATATTGTTATATAGTACAATGGTCTACATTCAGCTTAGGTCTGAAAGGCTCGTTACGCAAAATATCCTAGCTGCTGGGGAACAGAAACAGATTAATGTTCCACCCTAACAGAGGACTAATCCAAAGATTACAAGGATTTACTGTAAGTCTGAACTATGAGAACTAAATAATTGCCATGGGAACTACAACACCCTCAGTGACTAAAAGGAACATACCATGCAATGAACTTCAGAGTGATTTATCTTCATTTACATATTTATATTAGCACATTCTGTACCATCCTGCCTGAAGCACATTTCCTTTCGACTGTTGGGGTATTTGACCGTCTCACATCATGATCATCTTTTTTTCGTCAGAAAGAATAGCTTACAGAAGAATGTAATTTTTCAAAGCCTCTTTTGTGAATGCTTTTCAAATACTAAGAAATTTTAATTAAAAATTAATTTGTTTCTTTATATGACTCTGAGATATTAACAGAATAGAATAGAATTTGCTCCTATTGCAACAAACAAAAATTCAAGATTCCTTGTAGTAAATAGTAGGCAATGTAAACCCATAAAACAAAGAATAAGGCCATACAAGTATTTTTGTACACTACACCACTTGGGGCACCACCACACTCTTATGGCATAATTAGCTATTCCCTAGTTTATAAAGTTATTACTTGAACATAAGTATATTTCAGAACACTATTTTATTTTTGTTCACTGTTTTCCCCTTGATATTTGATTTGTGATCTATATAACTGTTACTTAGATATATGGTTGCATTTTTGCATGTTTTGTGCAAAAACTGGAATTGTTGTTTAGGAAAGGCAAGAGTAATAAACAGTTTTTTTCTGACTTGCACATCATGGAAGATACAAAATCACAGATATGCCAAAATTTTTACGTTTGTTTTTAGGCCTAAGTGTAGTATTCTGGAGGACTTACTACAGTTATTACTGGTTGTAGCTGAAAGGGATCATTTTTGCTTCTCTTTGGACAGTTATTTGTTATAGGTTTTTGTGTAGTTTATCATATTGCAGGTTTAGCAAAGGAGGTGAAGAATACATTAAGAGCACATTTTATGTCAGTAGTGAAACTGATAAATTTAGATTTATGCCAGTTTATTTGTCTTTTTATAAGCATAAATTTGTCGCTATCTGCTCCAGTTTTTTTACTACAATAAAATGTAATTTCATGGTATAATTCTTTTTGCTGCTGGTGACCTTTTTCCTAAGTCACCTGACAGTAATCTTAAAAAAACTTCATGAGGCTTCCTCTTTTTTTTTATTATCAGTTAGTGCTAGTTTCAATAATATTCAACAATATAACCCAGCTGGGCAACCCATCAGATGATAGTAGGCTATTCACTAATTCCCAAGTTAGTGGTCTGCTTGAAGGCTTCCATGAGAGGTAAAGAACCCTGGATGTTTATGTAATCTGTTTTTCCTGTGATCTCATTTGTCTTTTTAATTATCAGACCTACTTCTTTCTTGCTGTTGTATCAGCTACCATATTGATGACAGGGTGCCCTCATATGCCACCACTCCAGAGTATCTTACCTACTCTGTCCCTCCCAAAGAGCCATTACCCGTTTCCTTGTGCGAGGGGACGCAGCGGTTATAGTAACAACTGTTCTAAGAATTATGAGTAATGAAGAATTTGTCAGGGAACTAAAATTAATCTCAGCTCATGAGCAGAGAATAAGATAGAAGAGAAGTGGTTTCTTGTAAAGGGAGCTGAATAGTCAGGACATGATGACTTAGTTGGGTGGGGAAATCTATGCAGAAGGGATAACATGAAAGTATGGCAGAGTCAGGAATAGGAGAAAAAGGGAACAGAAGGCTTCAGAGAAAACTGTTGCAATTTACGTGGAGTAATAAGATGCCCTTTGTGCCAGCATGGGTTATGAGGTATGAACAATATAGAGCTAATGCACTTGGTGCTTTTTCAGGATATGATACAGAAAATTCTTGTCCTTAAGAGCTTAGCATTGTGTTACATTTTATTGTATCCTGTTCAGGCCTCATTGAAAAGAAACTTTCCATGCATCTTCAA